AAGACACCAAGACACCAAGACACCAAGACACCAAGACACCAAGACACATGCATCACAAGGCTTAGGTAACACAAACTTTCTTGAGCCTTGCTAGCTCTGCTCTGCTGCTATTGATTGGATGTGAGCTTGTCCTATTAGTGTGAGGGCATGTTGTCTGTGTTTGAATACTGATATGATTCATTGATGTGCTTACCATAGCTGAGTAGCTGAAAACTGCAAGAGGTGGTTATGAAGCTGATATGAGGGTGATGTGTGAGGGTGTGGGTAATATCTGATTGCAGCACTGTATCATGGTCAATTGAGACCACCAATGGGTGAATGATATCGGTGTGGTTTATTGAATAATGACATATTAATGATCTGTTGTACAGGAGATATCATTGAAAGATGTGAAGCTGAAGCAATTATAACCATCTGCAGGTTGAACTGCCAAGTGGATGATTTAATTCAGCTGACTGCTAAGATCCCCAACATCACAGATGTCAGCCTTCAGATAATTCAATTCACCTACATGACAGCAAGTAAGAGCTCAAGGCACTGCACGCAGACAACCCCCAGCTATGGCAGTGAAAATGTAAGCTGCTGTGCTGTGCCCCTAGCCAAGCTGTTTCAATGCAGCTATGACCCTGCACTTTACCCAGCAATGTGAAAATGTGACAGGTTTGTCCTGTCCATGCTGTGGGAAGATTCAATCTAGCCAATTTCCATCAGCCCATTCTCGATCATGAGCAAAGTGACAGAAATAATTGTCAACAGCATATCAAGTGACACCTACTCATCAATAATTATCTTATTGATGTTAATTGGGGTTATGCCAGGGCACTTGGTTCCAATGCCATCAGTCTTTATTCAACATGGGAAGACAAAGTGAGATGACAGTAATTGTCCCTGACAGTAACACAGGACTTGACTCAGGGCGGCATCAAGGAACCCAGCAAAATTGAGGTTAAATGGGAGAAACCTCTCCACTGATTGGAGTCATACTGTGTACAAAGAAACACTTGTGGTTTTTGGTAGCTGATTAGCTTAGTCCCAGGACATTGCTGCAGGTGTTCCTCAGAGCAGTTTCCGTTTAACTAACCTATTCAGAGATGTGATAACACACTTCTTCAGCAGGTGGAACTTGACCCCAGGCCTCCTAGTCCAGAGGTAAGGACACTACCAGTGCACCACAAGACCCCTTGTTTTCGAAGAAATCTGTTCAAAGATGTTATTATCTCTGGAGCAGGTGGGACTTGAACACAGGACTCCTGGCTCAGAAATAGGGACACCTTGACTGTGCTACAGCAGCTCCTGTTCCTCACAGCATTGTCTCCTGTCTAACTGATTTCAGCTGCTTTATCCAATGCACTTCCCTCCATCTTAAGTACAGATGTTCATTGTTTGCATAGCCTTCAGCACCATTCACAAATCCTCAGATGCTGAAGCAAACCATGCCCACAAGCAACAAGAACTGATCAGTGGCAAGTAATATTTGCATGAAAATCTGGGCAATGACTGTCTCTAATGAGAGGTAATCTAATCGTCTATCCTTGAAATTCAATTGCATTATGATACATCTGTGAAGTTTATACGATTATAATAATGTGGAACTGTATCTTTAAATTTAGTGTATGAAAAAGGAGTTATCTGATCAGTTTTAAAGAAACTCTCCAAAAAAAAATCTCAGGTAAGTTGAAATCAGTCACGCAAAGTTACTACTTAATGAAACAGAAAGTCGATGACCCATTGGAAGCTGGCAGTAACTTTGGACAACGGCTAAAAGAATTTAAATTCCATAGCAAATGTGATGGGTGATAAGCATATTAGGGGAGCATTAGTTTCTGTCATTTAAGGTGTAAATTGCTTGCAAAAGGAATTGTTTAGTCAATGGTGATTGTTGTGTAGTCAACAGTTTCAGTAAAATTTCAAGTTTCTAAAACGTGAAATCTTGGTGCAGCAACTTTTCAACTTGCAATTGGAAATCCAAAGTTGTTTTTTAAAAGTTATCATTCTCTCTGAAGGTCAATTAACATAGTAACAATTAACATTATTAAATCCCCTAACTCAACTCCTGACTCTACAAAGCCTGTATACCATATGTGAGAAACCAGTCAAGAATGTGATAGAATACTCACAACACTAACAATGGTCAACAAGCATGTACTAACTGCAAAATGCACTGTAGTAACTCACCCAGGCTTCTTTTAAAGCAGTCTTCAAACCCACGTCTCTACCATGTAGAAGGGCGAAGTCAACAGACATACAGGAGTGCCTCTAGATGTAAGTTCCCCTCCAAGCCTTCCACCATCTTGATTTTGAACTATATCACTTTTCCTTTAGTGGTCACGGAATCAAAAATGTGAAACTCTTTCCCTAACACTGTAGGTGCATCTACATCACATGGATTACAATAATTCAAGATGATGACTCCCTCATCTCATTCGTAAATGCAATTGTGGCAACAAGTGCTGGCACAGCTAGTACTGCTTATATCCTGTCACTGAATAAAAATGAATTCCCTGCATTGAATATCTTTATAAGGTTGATGAACATTTTATGACAGTGCTGCCAAGTCCTGGAGACCAGACCCCTTACATTCACCTTCTGATCCACTTCCTACTTTTTCCCACTGTACTTTGAAGAATATTAGCTCTGGGAAAACATGACTTTGTTCCTTCAGTTAACATCCATGACTGACATCTTCATTGCTGCCACGTATAAACCCAGACTCCTCTCTCATTTCTGCCATGCCAGCTATTTTTTCCTTATTGTAGCCTATCACAGTATTGATGTAAGCGGCAGCTTCCATATGTTCAGTGCTTCTTCCCTCTAAAAGAGACAGACTGCTGGATGCTAGTTGGCAAAACAGGAAAGCTCCACAAGCATGGAAAATATAGCCAGCTAGTAATGCAAATGAGAAGATAGTGCAAGGTATTTTTGCTGCCTCACTCAACAGAATTAAGACATAAACACATCAAAAATCACAATCGTTATCTTGAAAAATGGGTACGAGATGCATTTTTATTCTTTAGAGAATAAATGAAAGACATCAGTGTGCCATGTTATGTGCCTTGAGGTATTTAGCTTTTAATAGTCTGTAGCAGGTGTCTCCAAAGAAACACACAAGTGCTACATGCCCACATGCCTCATTACTGAATGCAATAAAACTGCAAAGATTTCTGAGGTGAATCATACTTTAAAATCTGTAGATAATCTACACAAATATTTTCTCCATATAATTTAAGAAGGTTGAGGGAGAAAGACTTTCTGTATTGTAAAATGCCTTAAAACTTTTGGGACAACAAGGTGCAGGGCTGGATGAACACAGCAGGCCAAGCAGCATCACAGGAGCAGAAAGGCTGACGTTTCGGGCCTAGACCCTTCATCAGAAAAAGGGGAGGGGAAGGGGGTTCTGAAATAAATA